GACATATCTAGGAGCCATTAAGGAGCACATGGTCAAAGTTAGAGAGTTTACAACAGATCCAAAGTCAACTCTAAGGACCCTTCACTTTGTGTTGCCTACGAAAGAAAAAGTGGAACAAACCAAAGATCTTATCAAGGTAAGTACCAAGAAGAATCAAATTGTTTCTATTGATTCCATAACTGCTATAATGCGCTTGTCTTGTCCAGGAAATACTATGACAGGTCTAGGTACCCAAGAAAAAACTAAGACACGAGGAGACCAAAGGAGGGAACAAAGAGACTACAACGCCTTGCTGCCCAACAAAATCAGCAACAAGCCATGTCGAGGAGTCATAGAATCCTTACTGATCAAAGAAGAACCACCGAATACACAACATAAGCGCCACCCGGATCACCAACAAGCCAAACACCGAGGTAATTCTATAAACCCTCAAGTAACTAAAGTTACTAACTTGACTTATCTCCGTGCATATCCTACAGTTGTGAGGACAAAACTTCTTGAAGAGGGAGGGTATGATGAGGTCATCAGACCAAGCATCGATCATGATTACGTAACCAAGGTTGAAGAGCCCAAATGACACGTTCCAAGTCTAGGAGAATCAGGTAAGGAGTCAACATGACAGTAGAGATCCTCTTTAACACAAATGAACTTGGAGCCACATTCAGAAACACTCCAGAAGCAAATGACATTCAAGAAAGCTCGGATGCATCCGATTAGACCTTGTGGAAGTCTTTGCACATTTGAGCATCAAGGAAGCTCAGCCTCGAACTAACCAAGGTAAACTTATTTATTTGGAAGGAAATGGAGCTCATAACATCAAGAATATCATTAAGTTCATATTGGAACTTCAAGATATTGCGAGGAGAAGCCAAACGGCCAATAGAGAACAAATGGAGTAAAAAGAGGATTCTGAAACTAAGCACGTGAGATAACTTAAATATGTCAACAATTTAAACTTCAAGGGACTTCAAGAGGAAGAATTCATTAAAGTATTCAATCTGAATGAACCAGTAGTAGCCTTGAACATTTCAGCTTCAAAACCAGCCAATTCGCACGCCAACAAGGTATATTCAATTTATTTTGAGTTTGTGTAGGTAAATAAGACTATTTCATTGGTCTTTAGCACTTCAAGGAACCTCAGTTCGAACTTTAGCAAGTGCTACAAGTTTGCAAAAAAAAAAGACACAAAGTTTCTTTTTCTAGAATAGGAAA